AATAACATAGTTGACAACTTTATTCAACAATGTCAAATGAAATCTTCTCTGCCACAATATATTTTAGAATGGATACCTTTTGAGCAATTTAAAAAAGTAACAAAGCTGACTGAAGGTGGATTTAGTTCAATTTATACTGCTACGTGGACAAGAGGAAATATTAATGATTATGACGAAAATAAAAAGGAATTTAGTTATTTAGGAGGGCAACTAGTAGTATTAAAAAGTTTAAATGATTCAAGTAATCCAGGAAAAGGCTTTTTTAATGAGGTTGGTAATTGTCATTTAAAACAAAATAAACAATACTGTATTATTTAATACTAATTGATTTTATTTATTTTCAGGCAATGAATTATTGCAAAATTAAAGCACCACTGATTGTTAATTGCTATGGTATAACTAGATTCCCAGATAATGGAAATTACGCAATAGTTTTAGGCTATGTTTCAGAGGGAAATTTAAGGGATTATTTACAAAAAATCATTTAAATTTAGCATTAAAAGACAGAATTACAATGCTTAGATATTTATGTAATGCATTAGATTATATACATCGGAGAGATTTAATCCATTGTGATTTACATAGTGGTAATGTACTTGTGCAAGGAGGTCATTGTTTTATTACAGATTTGGGATTATGCGGACCAGTTGATGAAAAGTCATCAGATAAAGTCTATGGGATTGTATCATATGTTGCGCCTGAAGTACTTAGAGGCAAAAAGAACACCAAGGAATCTGATATCTATAGTGTTGGAATGTTAATGTGGGAAATATTTGCAGGTTGTCCACCATTTGATGATAGAGCTCACAATCACTGTTTGATTTTTGATATATGTGAAGGTTTACGACCACCAATATTATCTGAAATGCCTGATGATTATGTGCAAATTATGCAGAGATGTTGGGATGTGGATCCATCAAAAAGACCAACTAGTAGAGAGCTTTATGATTTTGCTGAAAACAAGCTTTGAAGAAATTTTTAAAAATAAACATTTGAAAAATAATAGTAACAATAATAATAATAGTTTAATAAAAAGATTATTCAAATTTTCTAAAGCCAAAACACGTGAAATTGATTTTAATAATGATGGCAACAGCAGCAGCAGTGGTAATAGTGGTAGTAATTCACAACAAACACACAAATCACATCCAGATGCACATCATACAAGCAGAATATTAGATGAAGAGATTGCTAAATCTAAAAGCTTGAAAAGTTATACAAGTAATGATAATTCGTTAAATAATCTTGATTTTAACTCTTTTCTCTAAAATATTAACAAAGGCGAATAAAAATTTCATTATCAATCAATTGGAAATTACTATCCATCAATTATTATTGCTGACAATATTAATTAATTAAACATTATATTCTAGTAAAAGAAAGATGAATTTAATCTCTACTATAAATTTATTATTTATCTTTTTATTTTATCTTTTATTTTATTTCTTAAAGCTAAATTATAATAATAAACTTTTTACAGTTTTTTTGATTCTTGTTAAATAGTGATATTTCAAGGTATCATTCTGGTTAATTAACAATCATGGCTTAACTTTTGGGCTACTCTTGTCAGTTAATTGCAATAATCCGGTGCTTATCAATTAAAATTAGCTTACAAATTTACTTTGGTTCCCTCTTTCTTTCATCCAGATGGATCTGTGAACATACTAGATAAAAGATGGCCCTTTTGCAATGCCATAAAGTTCCTTTTATTCACTTGTGATTGATTTATTTCAGTTGTTTACATTTATTGGCCGATTGCAAACTCGCTTTGGTTTACTTGCAAAGTAGCTTACTCAATAACCATTTACAATCACAATAATATTACCAGTATTCCAGATTAACCTTTGGACGATGCTTCATTTAACCAACGTTAATTAGTCCAAACCTTTGCTTACTCAGTAAAAACAAATTACGTACTAATCGTTGTTAACACTCACTAGTTAACCAACGTTAGTTCTAATCTTGCTTGTTTGCTCACTAAAGCAAATAAACGTGGATTTTTATCAAGGCACTAACTACACTTGTTGCTTTCATCAAACAAAGGAAATAAAGAAATGTTTTTATTTTTAAAAGTTAACAATTAATTTAATAAAAATCTTTATTATTTCCTCTGAGGAACCAAAGTCATGCTTTTTCAAACAAATACCAGAAGTTATCCTTAATAAAAATTTTCGTTGATCACTACAATAAGGTTAAGATAAAGATGGGATTATTATTGCAAAGTAACTTAATCAATCAAATATTGATATTATAAAACCTTCCATAATAAAAAGCCTTTGCATCATAATTTTAGCGTATAATTATGAAAATTAGTTGGCCCTGGAACATAAAGTACCGAATCCCAGTCGATGATTTTACCTGCCCGATCATGTATCACGTTATTAATACTAATTAATATAAGAAAGAAATGTTCGAGTTTAGTAGTAAATGAACTGAATTTGTATTCAGCAAAAGGAAAGCTTGGCTCCTTGGGAACAACTGATGAAACAAAGAGAGATTGGGATACTCAAAGAAAAATATAAGAAAAAGACCTTGGAATATACATTTATAAGTTTTTTTATGTTTTATTATTAGTCTTTAAAGTAATTTTACTTGCGTCATTTTTGACTTAATGGCAGTGAATTTGTCAAACAACATTGCCTTTAAATTGTTTATCCTCCTTTTCTTATTCACTTTAATTCTTCATTCTTGCCTCCTAGTTCTTTATCTTTGCCTTTTACTTCTTTGGTTGCCTTCAATTAGTCCTAAATTTCATATTCTATATTCATATTTTCTGATCCAATTGGCAGTTTTAAGCTTCTGAAAATGAAATTAAACTATTGTAAATGTGATTTTATATTCAGAAAGTATTTATTAAAATTAAACGATTGCCAATTTTTAAACACAGATCAAAGTTGGGGAAATAAAATTTATTTTGCTGATAGTAACGGACATTTTATCAATAGCTTACTGCGTATTAAAGAAAATGTAATTTATTAAATTTGGAAATTATGAAAAATCGAATTCTCCAGATTTGGTTTTGCTGGAAACTATTCCAATATTAAAAGTTATATAATTAAAAAAAAAAAAATAAGTGTAAAATTTCAGACACAAGCATAACTTCTTGTGGGTCCAACGACAATGTATTATCACTCTTAATATATATCTCGTCAATTATTGGGAATTTTACTAGAAAAATATGAACCAACTTTTAGAAATCTTACTGCAAGATTACACAAATCCAAAAGAATAGTCTTGTTTAGGAATATTAATGAATAAGATTGCCCTCTTTTAAAGTAGAGAAACCCAATATAATGGTTGGTGACATTAGAAATTTTGATGATTTTGCAGATAAATGCTCGCTTTAGAGCTCAAACAGAATGTTATTTGAGGAGAATTTTCTTGCCAACAACCCCTCATGGACAATTAATTGAAGCAGAGAAAATACACAAATTTTTTACCATGGTTTTTGAATGATTTTATTCAATGAAAGATTTCAATAATAATTCTCCTCTTCTCTAACAACATATATGTAAAAAGCCCAACATAAGATAATGTCTATCCATCTCCAAAAATAATCATCACATTCCAAATAACCATAATGACAAAGTAAAAGATGTGTATACACTGCAATAATTATTGATGTAGATAATGACGTTATTATCTCATAAAGCCTTTTCCCCTAAATAATTGTCAAATTGATTGATTAATTAATAAATATATATATATATCATATCATGAATATTTAATTGTTACCAAATGTTCTTCTTCGATATCAAATTCATCATTTTTTTCTTGCATTTGAACAGAATATAATAACTTTGAAATTATCACAGTTCGATAAATTAATGATACAAACATGTTTAATGAAAATGCCTTTTCAATTACTGAAACATATTTAAAATTAAAAATAAGTTCTGAAAATTTTTTCAATAATATGTGAAAATTTAAACTGTTGAAAAAAAAATCCAAAAAGCAAAATTAATTGATCAATCATCTTATGACTCTCTTTTTAAAAAAAAACAATAACAATAATATTATTAACTTACTTGTAAAATAGATTAATAAAGTCCATCAAATCAAAATCAAGGTATATTAAAAGCGGAAGTGGTTTTAGATCCTCGAATATTGGCATTGTTGAATCTGTTCGATATCCTCCTTTTAATTTTGTACCATCATCCTTCCAGTTAAGTGATAGCATGTATATACAATAAATAGTATAAGCAAACTATAATAGAAAAAAAAAAATCTTAAAGAATAATTCATAATTCGCATTTATAGTATATTAAAAAAAAAAATAGATTGCTTGTCTTACCAAAAGTGAAATATCAACGATACTTCCTTTATTGAAAATCAAACAAACGATTGAAATTGTAATGGCTAAAGTCAAAACAGAACCAATAAGAGTTGCAGATAATATATCCATTCCTGAACCATCATATATATAATATAGAAAATAAATTGATATTATGTTGGTAATTATCGATATTATCAAAAAATAAATCTAAATAAATATAAATATTCAAAATTATAAATTATTCAAAAGATTATATAGTAATTATTAAATTTTCAAAGGAAAAATATCAACACCTTATTATGTATCAAATCTTCATCCTCGAGCGTTTCTTTGACATAACGTCTAATTTCTAAAATAAGCATGGAAGTAGCAATTGCTTCTACCAATGTAAAAATCGGTGCAGAACATGACAATAAACCTTGATAAACATTTAAAACAAGTGGTAATTTAAATTTAGGTCCATTGTATTGACTATTTTGTTGTTCTTCTATTAAGATGTAAGTTAATCTCACTGAATGTATCATAAAGAAAGGAATCAAAACTGGTTGAGCCCAGATTAGGATTTGTGTCTAAATATAATAGTCAACAATAAAAAAGATTATATATAATCATTAAATACATTACTAGTTTATTCATTTCTATATCTTAATTAGTAAATAAATTCGTTCAATAATATATAGGTCCAACAAAGTAATAGTCCAAGAAAATTATAATTCAATCAACTCGTTCTCCCTTTCCTTGCTCTAACCGTCTACCTACTATTATTACATGCTATTAAACAATATTATTATTATGTAATAAAAATTTATTATTACATACCATAGCCCAGCCGAAACCATGTTTTTTCTGCCACATAATTTTAGCAAATCCCAAAACAATGTAATATAGAAATAATGCAAAGGACAATGCTAAACCAGTTGCTGGGCCACCAAGATCAAAGGATAAAGGTAAAAGTAATAAAAATAGTAAATGATTTGCATTGTTAAACATAGACAAGAAACTCATTTCTTTAATATTATATTTTAAAAAGAAACGAAGCAAAATATTTTACATAATAATAATAAATAACACGTATTGTTCCAAAAAACTACGATTTCATTGGCTGAACTTTGTGTAGATCAGTATTAGATTGTTTAAGAATAAAAATTTCATCGAATCAATTAATGCTCTATAACATCTACTTCTTCCATATCAATGTCAACTGCAGATGACATTTCACTTCCAACATCCTCTGAAATAATAGATCCAATTTCAGACCACGCATCTTCTGATGGATTGGGTGATAAAAAACGAGAATTGTCTGGAAGATCAAGAATTTGTCTTTGTAATAAATGTTGTTGATTTTGTTGCTGTTGCCGAATGATTTCGTCGTTTATGGTAGAAGAATTTGATCTTATATTATTATTATTATTATTATTATTAACACCGTCATCATCATCATCATCACTATTATACGCACTATCAACAGATGATTGCAGGTGATGACTACTAATACTTGATAAACCTTGCGAGAGAATTGATTGTACAGCTGTGTCAGGATAAAGGCTACTTTCATTATATAAAGAATGTTGTTCAACATCTTTTAATGGAATTTCATCATTGCTGTCATTGTCTAAAATAGTGTTAGTAGCAGAAGTGTTCTTTGTGTTTTTAGATAAATCAGAATCAGAGCTGGATTTTGAACTGATGGATTTTAAGCGTTGCTTCCTATTTTCAAGTTCTTGTTCTCTCTCTTTCAAAATTCGCTCCTCATTTTCTATTTCTTTACTTTTACGGTGTAATTCTTGTTCTAAAATATTAAGATATGATAAATTTTCTAAAAGTTGTTCTTCTTGTTCCTTTTAACGAGAAAAATACCATTAGGAATATTTTTTTGTTTAGAATTAATAAATAAAATAACATATATATATAATATTATCATTAATCAAAAAAACCCTCACTTTTGAATCATTTGTGTCATTTATACCCTTTTCACTTTTACTTTTTTCATCTTTGCTTTTTCCTGTTATGAATGCTATATCATAATCCTCAAGCTAATGAATAATATAAATAATATTAATATTTTATTAAAAGTTTACCGGGAAAAATTTTATAACTAATTATATATGGATTTATTTTACCTTTGAAAAATTCAATGAACTGATTAATGAATCAGTCAATTTGACTTGATAAAAATTTATTGCAGCCGAAACATTCAAAGTTTCTCCAACATCTGGAGTATAAATGTCTTTGGTCATTGATTCCAGAGCTAAACAGCTTTGAGCAAAATCTTTCGTGGCTTCTTGTGATGCATGTACAACAATCTATAAATGTATGTATGTATACATATAAATTTATTATACTAGTAATCATAACTATTTATGTAAAATAGAACAAGGAATTAAACAAAATATATTTGTTACCAATTTTCTAGGTTGTACTTGTGGTACTATGGTTTTCAATGACCTTCCATCATTAGTTCCCTCCAAATCTATAAATCGTATTTGACATTTGAAAGTAACATCCTCATCATACAATACATATTTGGTTGGAACATTGGAATCCAAAGAAGAATTATTATTGTCCTTATCAAACTTGCACGACAATAGATAATTATATAATATTAATTAAAGTTTAAAATTGCTTTTGTGAGACTAAAAAAAAATATATATATATATATAACATATATTACTACCTCCTCTTTATCCCCACCACCCATATCATCTCTATCACCAATTGGCTCAATACCAATTCCCTCGGTACCAATTGATCCACCAACTCTTTTAAACATATCAGATGGAATAATCTCACCATAGTCATCATATCTTTTCCTTTTTTCAACAAATGGATACATCAAATAACTTTGTGTTTGTTTAAAAAAACCTCCATATTTTGTTGCATCGCGCACATAAAGGTCAAATTGTTTTGCTAATAATTCCTCCATGTCAGTATCTCCTGCTTCCGACTCTTCATCATCTGTCTCATCTTCTTCAATTATTGACAAAGATTTGGCTATAAGCGCTGCCTGTGCTGCCTCTCTTTCCTGCTTCTTGCGTTGTTCTGCTTTATATTCTAAAAGCTCAGCACCTTCTAAAGGAACTTTTTTATTAATCTTAATAATAAATAAATAGATATATATGTTTTCATGTGTGATTATTTAATAAATTATATAAACGATACATTATACAAAAATTTTAAAACAGTCCATTGGACAATAAATAATAAATTAAATTTACCATCAGGTTAATAGTTAAATCCAAAGCAGCTGCTGGTTTGACAACTCCTTGACTTGTTTGACTTTTACGATCCCATTCATGATATAACTTTCTTGCCAAAGAATTTGGTGGTCCACGATCAGTCAGAATAAGAGCATTTATATCTGATTTTGATATTTCGAATAAAAATTCACGGGAAAACCCTGTTTCTAAACTAACATTACTTGCAAGTACCACTTTTGGTCCCGGATATTTTGCAAGATCTTTATATCTATGACATAATTTTAGATACCTACATGAATTGTTTTTAAAAAAAAAAAAGAAGCTTTTTTATAATTTCCATTATGTAATTTTTTTATATAAATAAGCCAAGTTAATACCTAAATTCAAAAGGGTTTTCTCTTTTTGTGTCAAAATGTCTTTTGATAGCATCACCCATCCATTCTAGCATACTTTTAGTGTACTGGATTGTACGGTAACTTTGATGAGTTAACAAGATAAGTGGATATGACAACTGATGAAAAGCCCAATGTTGATCTAAAAGATAAGCCAACTCCAATACGCGTGCTGATGAATCAGTTGGTAATAATACTGATCCTTTATTTTGTAATGTGCTCATTATTGTTTCTTAAATATAAATTATTATTTATTTATTGTATTAATAAAAAAGTTTTAATAATATTAAATTGAATCATAAACCAAATTTGGGTAAATATTGCTTGGTCACGTGAAAACGTTATTTAAGAAAAAAAATTTGATTAATATTCCTAGATGTCCTCAAAAACTCGCCAACCTTCTGTTTAAAAAAAGGATTGTATACCTTTTGCTATTTGAAGTTTGTTCATGGGCTTTGGTAAACCGAATTTTTAGGGAAGGATGAGAGCAAAACTAAAAGGTAAGTAATTGACGTGAACAATTTCATAAGTTATGGAATGAGTGTGGTGAGGAAATGGATTGTGGACAACTTATGGAGGTTTAAAAGAATTAGCAGTTGATCAGAATGCTTCATATTATAAGTAAGCGTTTCCCACGCATCCAACATGATGAGTCACCAGCGAGAATCTGTCTCATTACACTACAAGTACTTTTGATAAAGCAAGGAAACTGATTATATCACACGTGATTCATCCTGATCTGTGACCTGAATCATTTTTAGAACCTGATGACACGGGAGAGGTTGAAAACACAGAAAGCTAAAATGCAACGAGCACATTGATTAAGGCATTTATATAAGTCTCTTATCATGTTCAAATAAAACGGATAATAAAATAATAATACTTACCAACTTACCTGCTATTGCTGTTGGAGCAAGTGAATTTAAGCGGAATTTCAATATAAGATTTAAAAAGAAAATAATACAATTTTTTCTTTCTTTTTTGTTAGTATCTTAATAGCTAGCACATAAGGAAATACTTGATTTAACCTAATACATCTAATCTGTATTTATTTTAACCAATTGTCTTTTCTAATCTTGCAGTGTTATTTATTATTATGATAAAGATGGAGACAATAAAGATAATACATGAAGTTAAGAAAGTTACAAAGTTATTTATACATGTTAAAGGTTCTATCATTTAGTTTTCTGATTTCTTTGAAATCCTAATTAAATGTATTACTTGAACCTTCTGTGTAGAATTATTTTCAAGTTATTTCTAAAGTGATCCAATCATTTAAATTCCTTCGTTTAAATTAA